AATGTGCGAAACCCTCGACGTCCGCACGCAAAATAAAATGTACAATAGACTGGATGGAATAAAAAGCATAACGGTGATTGAAAACCAACATTTGGAATTATAATTTTAATGTTTCATTTGAAAATCAAGGCAATTATGAATATGTAAATATCATCCTGATCCAATAGAAAACCTAATCTCGAATTATCAGGCAGTAAAATGTCAAGAGGAAAATGTCTCATCGTTAATTTCGATTTGAACCCAAAACCAAAGTTTAGAAAGATTATGAATATTTATTGATATCTATTGAAACAATATTTACTTTTTTAAAACTTAAATTTGAATTTTAAGAGTTCGATTTGAGATACAGTACGATACGGTAGTGGTATACATTATATTAGGATGCACACAAAGAACACAAATACAAACATCCAAAACACTATCACACAGATGGACGATTAAAATACATTCAAAGCGACACGAAACGTTTCAATCCAACCTACTACAAATAAACTAATGTGACAATACTACTTTTTCGTGATCCTTTAAAAAAAACATACAAAAGTACTCCTTTGTAGCTTCTTACTATTCAAAGTCGCATATCGATATTTTGCGTGTTTCTGAAAGCATTATTTGTTCAGAAATCATACTATTAATTTTGTTCAAAGTTAGACATAATGTTTCCACAAAAATAAACATGAAATTCAGTCTGATTATGTGAAAGCGAGATTGATGTACTTCTTGTTTTAGAAAAACTAACAATTTGATGGAATCGAATCCAGAAATTAAAGATAGATTCGAAATATAAATATGATTTTCAATAATAATCTGACGAAAGGGAATACCAAAAATTGCTCCTTTTGCACAAACATAGTCACCTTATTTCAGTGATTTTCAACTGGTATCATGATATAAGGTCTACCGCAGAAGAACTAAAAGTTCAAGTGTGCTATGAAATTAAAAAAAAGGTTGAAAAACACAGCTCTATTTCAGTACATTTGGTCCACTATCAGTCAAAATTAATCAGTCATTTATCAGTTGAATTACATGATTTTTATATAAAAAAGTTCTATTCAATGCAATTTAAATTCTCATTAGATAATTTACCCATATAGCGAACATGCGAAGAGTAACGAAATATCACCAAGTATAACTTAATTATATCTAGAAATTGTGGCGGAGGAACAACGAGCGATAATTATGGAAATGGAGCCGTACATCAACACGATTCCAGGCGATATTGCGCCATAGCCATTATCAGGAAACAACCTTGGCGTGACTTGAATCACTAAAGCACCCCATACAACAACCCCCTACCCC